TACTTTTCAAAAATTACAAAAAATTTATTGTAAACTTAATGTGCATACCTTTGCTTAAATTGTAATACACAAAAAAAACTTCTATTTGTATTTTTTTTTAAATATTTTATTATTATTAATAAATACTTTTAGTTTGAGAATTCTTACAAGTTAAAAGAAAATGTAATTTAGTTGTTAGGTTTGTAACTATTGTAAAGATTGAAGATAGATATGTTTTTAACACAACTAAATTTGTTAATAAAGTCATGAATTGGAAAAGATGGTGGGGAATGAATTACTGTATACAGTGTTGTATACAGTGTCTTTGCAGAATGTATATTGATATTTAATATAAGAAAATAATAAATTTTGTGTTCGATACTGTGGAAAAAAATTATAATCATTTATAATTACACGAGTTATATAGATAGATAGATAGATAGATAGAAAAAAAAACTTTATTCTGGGACTAAGTCCCTTCAGAATAACAATAATGTACAAAATAATAGAATATTACTGGCCTGAACGTTGAAACAATAAATGAAATTGATAAAATAAAATAAAAAGTAAAGAAAACCTTAGGTGCACAAGCTATATACAATACAGGTACTACTATGTACAGAGCATTTAAAATTATGAATAAAACAATTAAAACTATGAACGAATCATTTGAACTATGAACAAAATTATATTTAAGGGTTGAACAACATAAACATACACTTTGAGAAATGAAGAACGAAAAAGAGATACAATGAGTTCATTTCATAAAAAAAAAAACTTTACTTGAATATATATATGAAAATAAACAGTTACTTATAATTGAATAAAAAAAAAAATACAAAAAAATGTGTGTGTTGAAATTCCTACGTCGATAGTAGGAAATGCATGTACTATCTCTTACCAAGTGTTATGATTATATGATTGCTACACAATACATTTATAATATTAATCGTTAGCTGGTATCTGACTGTTTTTGGAACAGGAATTGGAATAGGAGGTTTTTGAATGTGTACAAGGAAGGGGCATGTCGAATTTTGATCGGGAGGGAATTCCAAAAGTTGACAGAGCGGGCTATAAAGGAATTTTGGAATGAGGCAGATCTATGAGAAGGGATGTATAGGTCAGAGGGTCGGGATCTTGTAGTGAGTGAATGGATTGAGGACTTAAATTGGAGAAGGTTGTAGGCATAAGAAGGACGATGATCGGTAATGATTTGATAAAGGAAAGTGCCAAGGAAATATTGTCTTCTTAAGGAGGGGAAGAGCCACCCTAACTCAGTGTAGTGGTGGGAGACACGGGAGCGTCTCGGGGTTCCGATTACAAATCTTACGAAGCAATTCATAAGTCTTTTGAGTCTATCACGCAGTTCCACCGAGAGGCCATCGTACACCACACAGCTGTAGTCAAAGTGGGGAAAGATGAGAGAGGAAACTAGGAGTCTACGGGTATTTTGGGGTAGAAGATGGCGGAAGTGATGGAATAGTTTGAGGGTAGAAATTGCACGGCGGGATATATGAGAGATATGGTGATTCCAGGAAAGGGTTTGATCTATGAGAAAGCCTAAATTTTTAACAAAGGGATAGAAGGTGATGGGGTGGTTGTTTAGATAGAGTGAGGGAAAGTTGGTGTGGGATCTAAGAAGGGGCTTGGAACCAATGAGAATGGCCTGAGTTTTGGCCGCATTTAGCCTTAATCCATTTAAGTTGGCCCAGGCATTAATTCGATCTAAATCTTCTTGAATTTTGGCAAATGCCACCAATAACTCAGCGGGAGAAAAGGATAAATAGATTTGAGCATCGTCGGCATAAAGGTGGTGGGAACAATGGATAATTGTATCATTTAGGTCATTAATATAAGAACTGAAAAGAAGAGGAGACATGCTTGAACCCTGTGCAACTCCTGAGGATAAAGGAAGGTAGGCAGATAGAGGTTGATTAGGTATGGAAACTGCTTGGGTTCGTTGTGAGAGGAAAGACTGGAACCAAGAGATGGAACTCTTGGAGAAGGATAATGATTTTAGTTTGTTGAAAAGGATGGAATGGATAATGGAATCGAAAGCTTTAGAGAAATCAAGAAGTATAAGAATGGTTAATTTTTTGTCATCTATTGCAGTCTGGATATCACTAGTAATTTTAATCAGAGCAGATTGTGTAGAGTAGCCAGGACGGAAGCCAGATTGGAGAGGATCGAGTTGGTTGGATTGTTCAAGGAAGTTGGAAACTTGGGATTGCACCAACTTTTCTAGGGGTTTAGAAAGATTGGAAAGGATTGATATTGGGCGGAAATCTTCGGGAGAGGATGGATTAGGCTTTTTGTTTAAAGGAAGGACAATGGCTTTTTTCCAAGAGGTCGGGAATATTGAATTCTGCAGGGAGAAATTGTAGATGAAAAGGAGTGCTGGGAGGATTTCAGGGAGACATAATTTTATTAGTTTGATAGGAATGCCATCTGGGCCTACGGAATTGGAACGGGATTTCATTATAACGGTAATAAGGTCTGTGGGAGAAATGTCGGAAAAATAAAAATTATTGTCGTTAAAAGGTACCTCTGGAGAAAAGCCGGAAGGGGATGGTAACGAAGAGGTGGAAACCGATATAAAGTGGGAGTTTAGGTCATCAGGTGATATTGGGAAAACTGAGGAAGGGGATCTAGAAGGTTCACAGAGGGAAAGCTTACGAAGTAGAAGCCATTTTGATTTGATATCAGGAGCTGAGGAAAGGGCTTCGTGAAGGTAGTTCGCTTTCGCTTGTCGGATCCTTGTCTGTGTCGTGTTGCGAAGCATTCTGAATATTTGATAATCATCTGCAAGCCTAGTCCGTCTGAAGCGTCTGCGTGCAGCGTCGCGTCTCTTCTGCAGATCCTTAATTTCCTGACACATCCAAGGAGCAGGACGATGACGGAAAGTGGAGGTTTTGAGAGGAGCGTGGGTATTGAGTATATTGAGAAGATTGGTGGTGAGAATATCAACCATGGTGTCGACAGAGGAGCAATGATATATTCCATTTAAATCCAATGTTACTAGATCAGGTAATATTTTTTCTCGAGTAAGGGTATCCAGTTGGCGGAAAGTGATAGTTCGAGGATGGATTGGAGGAGTGCGGATATTATACGTTATTTGTATCAGATCATGAGATGAAAGAAAGGATACTGGCACTTGAGAGGCGGAGAGGAGGTTTTGAGCTGAGTCGATGATGTAGAAGTCTAGCCAAGTGTCAGATCTGCAGGTGTGGTGGGTGGAGGAAAAAGGAACGATGAATAGGTGAAGTGAGAAAAACAGATTTTCTAAATAGGATTTGTCATTGGATTTTGAGAGGAAATTGGTATTGAGGTCACCGGAGATAATTATTCTGGGATAGAGGGGAACGAAGTTGAATAGAGTTGATTCGAAGGACGGGTCAAATGGCACGAGAGGAGGGCGATATACCACGGCGTAAAGGATAGGAGAAATATTACTGAGAATTTCTACTAAGAGATATTCTACATGAGGATGATCGGAAGATGGGGAGCAATCGAGGATTCGGGTCTTTAGGCTATTGTGGACAAACATGGCTACTCCACCGCCAGTCCGGTTTACCCGGTCATGACGGAGCAGGATGTAATTCGGCAAGGATACTGAAGATGATGGAATATAAGGTTTAAGCCAGGTTTCGGATATTGCTATGATATGATAAAAGTTTTGGGTAAAGTATTGCAGGAATTCGTCATAATGGGCAGAAAGTGATTGAGAGTTAACTTGACATGTGATTAGGGAACTAGACATACAGTGGATTTGGAGAGAAACAGTCAGTGTTTGGTAGCGAGAAGACAAAACGAGTAGAAAGTACAGAAAAGCGATTATCGTACATGAAACTAAGTGAAGAAAAAGTAATATTAACATTAACAATAAATAAAGAGAATGTACTTGAAAATAAATAGATTGATGAGTGACGGTGTAGAGATAGCACTAAGAGAAGAAGTAAGACTATTTTAATGAGGCTAAGGGGTTGACGGCTTCTAGGTAGTCAGTCAAATACATCTAGATCCGAGGCCTGTTCTATCAGGATGACTCTATGTCCGTCCTCTTTTCGATACCGCACCTTTCCGGAAGCAAACCACGTATATTTGATTTTTCCCGCCGCTCTCTTCTGCCGGGCTAACCAATAGAGGTGTCTGTTTGTGCGAGTCATCTCTTCACCCAGATAAATTCGGTGGCAGTCATTTTCCTGCCAACCGATATCCCGCGTGGAGAAATCCCTCTTCACTTTCCTTTTCGTAATTAAGTCATCTCTAATTGATTGCCTGACAAAACGTGCGATAACAGGCGGTGGTCGCGAGTCATCTTTTCGGCTTCTGCGGCGATGTACGTTGTCCAGGTCCTCCACACTAAGCCTGATCCCCAAGCTTGCTCCTATACTGGTCACCAAAGCAGCGGGCGTTTCACCCGGTCGCTCCGGTATACCGCGGATCTCCAGTGATCTACTCAATAGTCCTTGCTATTGATATATACATATATTTTTTTAAAAATTAAACTTTAGAATAACAATAGATGATGATATTTAAAACTAAAATAAATACACAAAAAATTACTCTAATTTTGTAGCCACTTGAGATGGAAATGTTGGCAGATAAGAAAATATTCCATCCCTGGAGATAACCTTCCTTTTTGAAATTACTGTCCTAGCAACCCATCCTATTTTCTCTCCAGCCGACTATTAAACTCTTGATGACTACTAGGATACAAAAAAAGAGAGAGACAAAGAAATTGCTTATCAAGGGTAGTTGAAAAGATTTACATGATTCACTACATTTATAAGTTTCAGATCATGACCACAACCCCTATCTCTTTCCCATTGGCAAAAGGTTGATATCTCTTGCTCTATGGAGTCTTGTAGAGTTAGAAATTAAAAATGATATGAAGTATTTTTTAAAAGAAATGTATTGTTTATGGCATATCCTTCTTGGCATCAAGACTTTTGGCATCAAGACACAATATGAATTGTGAAGAGTACTTTTACCTATATATGTTTTTTCTCTGTTTTTAGGAATGGAAAACCAGGAGAAGCTATGGTGACTGAAAAGTTCAATATAGACTGGGGAACTTATGTTTCATCACAGTTTGATGTTGTTTATGTTCGAGTAGATGTTCTTGATGAGGGAAGCATATATGCTGATACTCGTTTAGTCGGTATGAGAATTCAAGACTACATAGGAGTAATAAAGTAAGTTTCTTACATATTACTCATATTTTTTTTTGAATGGTGTGGAGGTTATAGTATATTCCAACAACAATTGCTGGGTTGTTTGGGATGTTCAGTCAAACAAGTAACAAAGTGAAAGTAAATAAATTATATTTACTTTAGAAGAGAAGTTGGTTGGGGTGTTCTGTCGAAAATAAAAGGTAAAAATAAATAAATGATATTTATTTTTATTTTGGCCAATATTTTGGCCCAAAGTTCAAGCCTTCATCAGGGCCAAGGAGAGACTAGATAACTATAGGTATGAGGAACTATTATCATTAAAAAGAATATAATAATATGTAGGTGAAAGATATAGTCTAATAACATGTAGATAGGATAAACTGTATATAATTCAGATTATTCTATCTACATGTTGTTAGTCTATATCTTTCATATACATTATATTTTTTATCTGGTATTTACTGACGGAACAAACTGAGAAGTAAAATTTCCTAAGACTCAGACAATATTATTAAAATTTTGATTATGATTTCACTAAGAAACTAGAAAGCAAAAAAAAAGTTTAATAGTAATTTATTATTACAAGAAATATTAATAAATGGTAAAAAAAATAAATAATAATAATGTTATCTCTTCAGAACCTAATAAATAATTGGTATCGACAAAATTAATTTTATAATATATATATATATTGTAATGTTCACATTCCCTTCTTAAGTAAACAAACAGTTTCTTATTCAAATTACGTTTATTTCTCACACAATAATTAATTCTCAGGTTGGGTTTAGACAACTAACACACATCCTCATTTATACAATATAAAAGCATACATAATTTTATAACACTTATTAATAAATTTCCATTCTATTTGTCGGGGTCTAATCTTGGCGCGCGTTCGATCTGTCCATTTATATATTCTTCACTCACCCTGTGATGCACCTACTCCTCTTCTGTACTGGTGCATTCAACTTCCACAACCTTTTACTGTTGACACTCACTACATTGTTCTTACATTTTCTTCTCACGATGCTCCATCCTAGCCCACTAGCTACCTTCTGTCTACCTCTGGGGCTTGCTTCCCCCACCATCTGTCATTCCTGTCAGTAGTTCTTGATGTCACTACCTTCGCGTCGATATTCAAAAACACTATGTAATATTGACATTACAATATATATATAAATATATTATATGTACATATTTGATTTATAATTAAATCATTAATTATCAATTAGATTTGTAGTATGTCTCAAACGAATCAAGCAGTCCTCACAAATGACAGTCAATATAAATACATAACACAGAATATATACTGACATTCTTTACAGAGTATTATAACGCAAAATACTACTTAAAACAATTTAATATCATTGCAACCGACACATATGAGAAAGATGGACAAATTCAAAATTTCAGAAATAAATTTTAAGGTCTGCAGATCATACGACCAACAGAGTTTTAAATTAGTACAAAATTTAATACTGAAACATGCTGATTTGCCCAAGACGGAAAACATTCTTTTTACTAAATTTCAGACAGATTTACAAATATTTATAAAACACACTAGCTTCTACCAAAAGAATGATTGTAGAACAGTAACCAAAATCGCTTGTATTTATTAATGTACCTTTTCAGTCTATTTCTTTAATGCAATTATTTTTTATTATTGTCAATTCTGGATAATGTAGCATATACATTTTCTGTATTCAATTGTATGTATATTTAACAAATAATATGTGTAGAAGGCCTTTTAAAATCATGAAACATGTTTAAAGGAAATAAATGATCACTGTATTGGGCTACCATAAAGAGGAAACAAAATATAATTTAACTAACCATTCATTAGCTAACTTTACAACAAACACTATCCTTATTAAAAAAAAATAATAACAAAGTGATATTTTATGCATTAGTTTTCACTACAATAAATTGTAGAAATTAAACCAATGAAGCAAATGTTGTATTGATTGTTATGTTGATTGAAAGATATGTGTTCTTTTTTTTTATGATTTAAATGCAAATTTTTTTGCAAAAAATGTATTATGAAATATATTTATAAAAAAGGTAGAACATTAAAGTTCTACTTTTAAGAGAACTTGCAGATTCCGATTTCATGAAATGTAGAAAACATGTAAAGATTTCTATTTTATGTTCACATGGTCTTACAAAATGATTATTTTTTAATTGTTTACACTGAAAATTTCTTGTTTCTTAAATTGTATTGTATAATAATCTTTATTTCCAGCTTCACCAACGGTTTCAGGGTAATTTTATTATTTCTTGTATTTTTCATATTTTTGCATTTTAAAAACTGATGATTCAGTCAATTTATTTTGACAAAAGAACCATTTTTATCCAACAATGTTCATTGAAATGTAGATCCTAGTTCCAGATTGTAGATTTTTTTCATTCCTTAGAATAGATTTTTTCTAAATAAATTTACTTTATAAAACGAACAATCTTATGATGCATTTAATAATAATTAATAATAAGTTAGAATATGCATAAACCAAAGAAATTTATTTGCATGAGAACCAATAAAACCAAACCATTGGGCCCCTGAACAAGGCAAACACAAGTTAATGCAAATAAAGTGGTAATAAATACTCAAAGCAGTCATCCCTTTTATATACATGTCGATAATTTATTTTTCCTTTACTTAATTTTTTGTTTTCAAATTAGATAAAGGAGAAAAAATATATATATGGTTTTTGTTTATAATTTAAAATAAGCTTTATTAATATATATTAACTTTTTATTTTTGGAAATATATCCTAAAAATCCAACTTAATTTCAAGATTGTTGTGTATGAAAGTTTAATCATTGAACAAAGAAACTAGGATCTTCAGTATATTTTAGTTTAAGCTGAAATTAGATTCATAATAAAATGTTTAGGCTATATTTGTTCAACCATTTTTTATTTTTATTTTTCTTATTACATTGACAACGTTTTGTTGTTGTCGCCATTTTGATAATGATGTTAATACGACATTATAGTTGGAAATTAAGGACCAAACAACTAACATGTGCTAACTTTATGAACATCATTATTAAAATGATTTGAAAATGACGACAACAGCCAAAATGTTGCCAATGTAATAAGAAAAATAAAATAAAGAAAATGCGGAACAAACATAGCTTAAACATTTTAATATGAAACTAGGTATTTTATGATAGTACTGCCTACTTACTAAATAGACTAAATGTGCATGGGATCACTTTAATGTTTTTTAGTTAAAAAATCAGCAATGAATTGGCCTAACACAAAGCTTACTGTAAGAAGCCTTGATGAAACCACAAAAATTTTGAAATTAATTTTTGACAGTTGTTTTTTACAATTGTATAACAACTTAAAAGTTGGAATCAGTCTCATGGCAATGGATTAGTTAGTTATGAGTCCCAATTAAGGCTATGTTAAATTATTATGCATAAAATTAGATTATTACCAATAATAATAATCTTGAAGGATATCAATGGCTAACAATAGTGAAGTGATAGTCTCAGTTCAAGAAGAGAAAGGACTTCAAGAAAATAATAATTGACCTCCACCAGTATTTTGATAAATTAAGATTTGCTCATTGAAAACATTAAATTAAATTGTAAGAAAAAGTAGACATAAGTATAGTTGGACATAATATATTCAAACCTCAATCGGGTACTTGAATGAATTTTCATACTTTATTCGTCGGTGAATATTAGGCCTTAATAATAAAAGTGCAAAAAGTCTCTAATATTTCTCATATATATTTGCTAAAATAGTTTGTGTTAAAAAAAGTGGTGAGGATAGAGCAACCTCATAAGAGTGGAGTTACAATTTTTGTTTTTCCTTACCTCATCTTTTCGACTATGCAAGGTTTTTTTCTGGATCAGAGGAGAGGGCGAGGGATTAATGCCAGAGTTAAATGCTCCAGACACTAGGACTAAAACTCATAATCTTAAAGTTATCAGGTTACCACCCTTATATCCCAACGCTGCTGAGAATCCTGTGTGCCAGAAATGGCCAAAAAGGGAGAACTAGATAAAAAAGTTATCAGGTGTCCAATATGCAACATGTGTATTGCGAATGCGATAGCCCGTTTGACCAAATAAATTTCAATAAAACTCAAAAGTAAGTAAATATTTGGAATATTACAAATAGAAATCATTGGGTCTCTAAAATACCAGCAAAGAACTAACCTCTCTGAACTATGGTCAATAATCTAAGGCAGATAGGTAGATTAGTTATTCTCCAGTATTTTAAAGACTCAATTTTTGTTTAGAATCTTCCAGTAGTATCCTAGAAATACACGATTGCATTAAAAAAATATAATATATAAAGGTTCTAGAATATACTTGCAAATAACTTTTTCATTATTAATATCGATAAAAAAGGCTTTCAACATTTGTTAGTGAAGTGAATTTATAACTATTATTAGAGTATAGGAGAATTAGACTAGATATGGCCAAAATAATGTGTTGAGAGGAGTGCTCTTGCATGGAACATTTAAAAAATATATTGTAGGTTTTAAATTATACAGTAACATTGTATTTAACATTAATTTCATTTGCTAAAGACAGAATTACATGTTTCATTTCTGATAATTATCTCAAAAAGAATGCTTGAATTGAATTTTCCTCTTGGCATAATGTTAACATTGTTTAAAAGTAATGGATGTTTCTAATGAAATTCTAGAAGTAACCAATGCACTTTTATACACCTCAGGAGGGCAATTGTTATTTTTGCAGACTATTCGGTAATTTTTTTTAAATTTATAGTTATCTTTGATATTTAACGCTCTACAGCAAAGTACACCCTACAAATCATAGTAAAAAAATAAAATTACATAATAAAATGTTTCTCATTGATTACTGAAAGAAACTCTATCCCAAATTGATGAGGATTTTTACCTGAAAGGTTGTTACTATTTTTTTTTTGTTAGAGTAGAGTTGGATGATTGAATACGAAATTTTTTACCACAAATGAGGATTACAAAAATCTGAATAAATGGTACTATTTTATATATATATGCGAATATATAGTGCTTATTTTAAAATAAAATAGAAACGACATGGGCAAACATTTAAAAGTAATGCCTGTTGTAAAAGCTCTTGCTAATAATTTGGTGACCAATTTACTGAGAACCAAAGTTGAAGAAAGCTGCTTAATTAAACAGAAAAAAAAAACTGTACTACTTTTTGTATGTATGTTCAGTATTTTTTTTTTGTCTCCTCTTCCTCCCCTTTTAGGCAATATGGAGCTTTTCCCGGGCCAAGGGAATTATGCCGAGTCAAAATTACCACCAGCACCAGGATCTGAACTCATAAACTTCAGTTTATCATTAGGTTGCCGAGGCAATGCGTGTTTTAAACAACGCGTGTGCCCACTCGGCCACCCCGCCCCCAATGAGGTTCTGTTCTTTGTGAGGAAGTAATGTTCTAAGGCCAACGATTGTGTGCATGAGGTGATTGGACCAAGATCATGCTCAACCACCAGGTTTTCCTCCTTAATTAATTACTTAATTTATAGAGGCTGGGGGTTCAGAAGGGTCTCCCGATCCCAGAGTCGATTCACGGCTGATGAAAAATTACTAGTCATCAGCCGTACTCAAGCCTGGGACCTTGAGCTCTGGAAGTCAATGCTCACCCACTGAGTTATCTTGTTCCTTAAGCTGCTTAATTAAGTGTCAATTAAATATCTGTGTTTAATAAACTAGAGATGGCATTTTTATTAAGTTAAATAATTCATTTGAGCTTGAGTAAAAAAAATTAAATGAAAATAGATATTTTATGTGTCATATAATTCTAAAAATAAAGATATGATTTAATATATTGTTTTACATAGTTGATGTGATGCTAAAAATTTATTTTCCAGGTACTTATTAGATACCCTTAAGTTCCTGGACAAGGAAAGGATAGCAGTATGGGGTTCGGGTTTTGGAGGCTACATCACTACTATGATGCTCAGCTCCCAGAATCATGTTGTTAAATGTGGTATTTCAATATCACCCATAACTGATTGGCTTTTTTACAGTATGTTGTCATTTATTTTCTTCTTTTATTCCTAGTTTTTTTTATACACTTTTTTATGTTCTATTTAATGTATTTTATGCTTTTTTAAACTATTAATTTGAACTCTTCCCCTCAATATCTTATTTCATTCCAAATAACAATAGTTAATTTAGTTTTTATTATATTATAAGCTTTAATTGAGGCTACACAAGTTATGAGAATGCATCTGAGTTATGTGGTCACCTACCTCAGAGTTAATATTGAAGAGAAATTCAAGAATCTCCAGGCAAATTTAAGGAAAGAATCCATCAAATGGAAGAAACTCATTTGCAACAATTCCCTTGAAGCGCAATTCTCTATTCATATATATGGAACATCCATACAGACAAGATTAAAAAGACAAGAACTGACTAGACCATATAACCAACTCGCATATCTTCTAGACTACGCCTACTCACTTAACTTACGAAACAAATGAATGATCTACAACATTATACTGAGACCAATTTGGAAATATGGAATAGAATTTTGAGGTTCGGCAAAACAAAAACATATTAACAAAATACATACAACACAATAAAAAATTATACAAAAAATTGTAAATGCACCTTGCTATATTTCAAATATCATTACTATACATAATGACTTAAACATTCCAACAGTAAAGTCCTACACTAATAAAAAATATATTACATTTAATTTATTAACTCAAAATGACTTCAGTCTATTAGTTCTTTCAATTTCCTCCTTCCTGTAACCTGCTGGACACAAATTAAAAAGGAAATGGCAAAGAAACCTACTCCTTCAATAATTACAAAATTAAAATCTACCAAGAAAATTTGCAGATAATAAATAAGTAATAAATAAAATTTGTTACTGCACAGGTGCAAGAAAATGGTGTAGAATATTAAAATAAATTAAAGAAGGTTGAGTAATCAGTAATTTTTTAAGTAATAATTACGTTTTCTCATTATCTTTAATTGCACTCATATAAAAAATACTTTAATGTTGCAATTTTTTATTTATTTATATCAATGCATATTTTAGATTCAGCCTTTACTGAGAGAATCCTGGGCCTTTCTTCAGAATCTTACAAAGATTATGTTGAAGCTGATGCTGTACAAAGAGCCAAGCACATAGAAGCTGGTTCATTGTACCTTCTCCATGGTCTGGCTGATATCTCTGTTCCATACAGTCATAGCCTCTCACTAGCTGCCGCACTAGCACGCTCCTCCGTCCTATTCAGGTACCAGGTAAGTGATACAGTCTTATTTATAGTTGTCTATATTTGTAAGAATATACATAAGTCTATTTTGTATTAATAATTGTGAATATAGATGGATTGTGTCTTCTACCTGATAAAATTTATAGCTTCAAAGTAGTTTTTAGAAGTATTAAATACAGATCTTAGAAAATTTTAATAACAAAGGATTTAGTATAATAAGATCTAATAAAAACTATAAATACAATTCAAAATAGCTAAAGATGACTCATAACTTAAAATTAAATATGGATAAGTTTTTAGTAAACATTGATGACTTGGGAATGGGGTTATGGATATTAACATCAATATTGTTGATATATATGTTGACTTTATTTAATCTCCAATATTTTCTCAGTAGTTTAAAAAAACATTTAAATATTCTATGTTAATAATTATTTTATACCATAAAGCATTCATAATTTCATAAAATAGAACTAATACATTTTTTATTTATTTCAGAGCTATGCGGATGAGGGCCATGATTTTTCTGGTGTGAAGGAACATGTTTATTTGTCAATGGAGGAGTTTCTTTCACAGTGCCTTAGCCTAGACAACAATGAGCAAGTCGGCCTCTAGACCCTTTTTTCTAACATCTAAAAGCGGCTTATGATTAAAACACCTTCGGATATTATGTATGATAAAATTATGGTTACTAACTTGGGTATTTTTACAACAGATAATCATCTCCATCTAGTCATTATCATTATTTATTTAAACCTTTTCACTTTCTACAACAGCACAAATGTAAATATAATAGCATTCATTTATATTAAATTATACAAATATAATTGTTCATTCCTGTTAGAAATTATTATTTTATAACTTTCCATAATACTTCTGTTTAAAAAAACTTTCTGGTTGTAGGTATACTTATTATATAATTCATAATTTTACTCTATTTATTTTATCACACTCGCACTCTCCTAGGAATATACATTTATTACGAATGAATGGGTTCATTATTAAAAGTAAAAAAAAAAAATAATGAAAATATGTTTAACTATAAAAAGGGAGTAATACTTAATACTACTTCTAGTTTAACCAAATAGAAATATTACTCATTGCCTTTTAAAATCAAGTTTTCAAGGTTAAAATAAATAATTTCAAAGTTGTAACAGGTCTCACTCTCCAAATGCTAAAAAAATGCTTGTGATAAATTATATGGGTTAGTACAAGTTAAAATGATTACATTATGAATTTTGAAAGACATGAGTAAATCAATGAAACAAATTAATTCCTCTCAGTAAACTTAAATGCATCTATTTTTTAATTATTTAAACAATTTTAACTCCATTATGGCTTTTTTGCTAATTTGGATTTTTTTATATGCATAAATAAAGATCTCAGATATATAACCTGATATATAGGAAGTTAATAGTATTTAAATATTTTTTTATGTATGTTTTTTCTGAGATTTAAATGTCGAGGTTTTTAATATTTACATACATAAAAAGAAATATATATTAAAATTGAATTTGTGCTACTTTGTTTATCTTTACTAATATGCATTAAAAATATTAAGATTTTAACAAGTTTTTATAAAAAAGTTTTCAACAAATAATTAAAATTAAACGAGCAATTTGAAGGTGTTTTAATTTTATGTAAGGTGTCAAATCAAACATAAATGACTGTTCTTTCTCATCAAATATATAAATTTTTACTATAAGATTACTAAAATTAATCTTCCATTTTATACTTAAAGAGTAGTTAAGATCACGTATAAAATATAAAAAGTATATATGAAAGGACTTTCATTTGTTTGAAAATAATATATTTTTGTCACCTGACCGTCCTAGCTCTAGGCAGATTGTTCCGCAGCTAGTTTTTGATACTTATAGTGTATATCAGGCTCGAAAATTCATAGAATTTTGTAAATATTTTTAATGGAGAACGTACTTAGAACATGCTAGTGTTAGAATGTGTTGCAGAATTCCATAATATTTGGAAGTTATATAACTGCTAATATCTGTATATTGGGTTAAATCTATTTTTATTAATGTCTAAACTGGAGTTTAACTTTCAAAGTTTTTGTGATTCATAGTAATTTGAGATACATTATGTAATATTGTGATTTTATGATTTATTGAAAGATTAACTATTAAATTAGAGACTTATTGTGAGGATTGGTAAATTATCTAATATTTTGTGGATAAAGCATTGTTAGAATAAATTGTTTGAAATAGGGCAAATGGATCTTAAATTAATTCTTTTAGATTAATAATATTTTAATGGAAAAATTCTTTTTAGCTATAAATTCGTTCCTGAGGTTTTTCACAACAAGTCATCTAATTTAATTTATTTAAATTTGAAATAAATTAAACTTTTCCTAATGGAATTATTTTTCTATTAAGAGTTTTAGTGTTTATTTCACTATTGTAAAGATCTTTGTTAAAAGATATGATGATGTACTAAGTTTGATGAGTATTTGTTATTTATTAATTTTTTCTAAATTTTAAATATTTATTAATGAATATGTATGTTAGTTGTAGTATGTGAGTGTGAACAAGATGCGTGATAAATAAATGAATGACCCGAGTAACAGGACTTAAGCCTTATGCTACAGCCTTTCATAGTATAATTAATACGATTTATAAAGGTGATGTTCAGTTCAAATCAAATATAAACATTTTTATTTTCATAGCAATTACTTCAATGACAGGAAATATATAAATAATTTTTTGTATTGTTGTGTTCAAAATATACGTTTCACCGAGTAAAATGTTATATCGATTTGGATTGAACATAGCTAAAAAAATCAACAATAACTATGTATTTGTTATTAATTTTAAGTATATGTATTGTCTGTTATAATATATTACAAATTTTATAAATAATTTAATTAGATATTTATTTTTATGTCAAAAATAATATTATACTTAAGTTTATAAACTGTGTTAATTGGTCAATTATAATTTAATGAGACCTGTCAATTATGCAAATTAAACTATATTGTCAATGTTTTGTTTGTGTTTGCTATAACTTATTTTTTTTGTTCAGTGCATTTATGCCGAGATCGCCGTGCCTAATTTTATTTCTAACATGTTTGTGAATTCTAATATTATAAATGTTTGTTTAAATAAAACTGCAAAATGTTTAAAAAAAAAATTAAAAAATATATAAAAAATAATAATCAACAATTGATGTTAGCTACTAAGATAGATTTCTTTTTGATTTTGCATAATTATGTGTTATATTTCAGTTGAAGGTAATATGTATGTTATGTCTGATAATCTATATAGTTGAGGTTATTACTGTTTAAGATAACGATGTTCTTATATAAATATAATTTTATCTCATTTATGTTATAAGTCATTATAATAAAATTTTGAGTAAATTTAAGACATAATAAATTTTTATCTTTTTTTAAGTATTAGTAATTAGCTTGATTAATTGGCTAATTTGAAGTAATTTCTTTTTTTCATCATTTTCCATAGCAAATGTCAATAGTGACAAATGAGACAATCGACAAGTTTTATAAGAAAAATTCATGTGCATAGCTATAGAAGAGTGAAGTCAGGTTTGAATGTAGATGTAAGATGAGTAAAATGTGCTATTATTTAAGATGGTCTGTCTGGTTGTTAGAATAGACAACACACAGCATAATATATTTTTGTTTTTTAAACGGAAGCCTTTATGATCATTATTAAAATTTTAGAATTGTATAGGAATTAGAGTTCAAAATCGACTCAGAAGCTCATTCACTTTTGATGATAATCAAAACAAACATTTTAAAGAAACTTTTTTATAATACAGATTGTAGAAAACTCTGTAAATATACATAATTCATTATATATAAATATATATGTAATATATATAAATTACAGAAGGATGAAGACCTTTTTGATGTTCGAGCTTTTTAATAATGACAATGACAATGTGATTTATCCATTATCGCCTTTTATATATGTTGAGCTTATCGGAAGAGGAGATCGCTTCTTGTTGTATTCCTTTATAAATGTTGAATGCTATTTGACTGTATTTGCCTAATCAGCTGTTGTATTATCTGATCAAGGGTTTAACTAAAAATTGTTTATTTACATAAAATGTTAAAATAAAAATGTTTTTCTTTATTGTTTTTTATTTAAAAGAATATTTCCCTTGTTTAAACTTTATATACATTTTAAGTGAAATTCTAGTTATTAAAAATTATTTTTCTTAAATTTTGAAAAAGTAAAGTAAGCTATTAACTCTATATATGAGTTCAAGGATTGAAATATTTAATCAATTATATTTTATTCCACCTGTGTTAATGATATAATTTTGATAGAAATGCTCAGTGTCAATTACAGGATTGCTTAAAGGATTAAACCAATACCAGAGAGGTTGATCAAAGTTAATGGCTGATGATGTAAAATTCCGAAACCTTGGGGACAATGTTTGATTTGTCCTGGAATAATCATTTTTCCCAAAAATGCATTGCTACTCTCAAACAGTTCCTAAGATTCCATGATTCCATGCCCCTTAAAATCCGTCAGCTCCTAGTTTCCTCATTCATTTTCTCTCATTTCGATTATGGCTGACTTGTATACGGTGGACTGTCTGGTGGACTTGAGATCAGATTAAAGAGACAAATGAATTGTTTCATTAGATTTATTTATGGAGTCCCCAGGCACTCCCATGTCTCCAGTTGGTGAGCCCAGTTGAAATGGCTCTATCCAGTCTTCTGATGGCAATATTTCCTAGGTGTATTCCTTTCTTGAAACTTTTTAACCAAAAACCCTCATACCTTCTCTATTTGTTTACTCTTTGTTGCTCTGTCCATTCGTTGAACATGATATCCCAGGCCTCAAACCTGTTTATTCCTTTTCATAGAACTGTTTCCTTTAAAAAATCCTTTGTGCATCCTTGTTTTAGAATTCCCAACCAACCACCATTGCCAAATCCTCATTTAAACATAATTTATCTATCCAGCACCTCAGCAATCAATCTTCCGAATATGTGTAAAATAATGTTCATGTTCTTTAAACCTGTCATTTGCATTTAATGTTATCCTACAGATAATTATATATCACATTGTTTGTGTAAAAATATGTGAAATCGCACATCTGAATTTATCTATAATTTCATATGTCTACCAAAGCCTTTTCTTTAATTTAATTTTAGATCTAGATAACCTTGAATTTAATTTATTCCTAATTATTTCTAATGCCATACGATTTCCATTAAATTTAGTGCTGTAAAAAGCTCGGTGAGAAGGCTTTACCGACTCGAACAAGACTTGAGTCCTAAGAGCTCGACGATAAAAGGCTCAAGTCGCTGCTTCAACCTTATTCATTTTTTACCATATGTTTATTAATGGACTTTTTAAATTGTTTTACAATTTTTATAATAGAACAAACTGTTCTACCTGATGTTTGTTAGCAGTATTATATTTTTGGCGGTTCCTTGAATTATTGTTTTAGCTGAAACAAAGTCTATTGTTTATCATGTTATATAATTCACCAAAAAAAAAAAAAATAATAAAGTAGAAAAAGTATCACACACCTACCCAAACATATTGCCATTTTATCTTTTAAAATAATTATATAATGGTATAAACGTCGGTTTATTGAATAAAGACACTAATTACTTTTTAATGGTGCTGATTTTTTAAGAACGTTGCGTGAATTCAAAATTTGGGTAATTTACCCTCTCCCCCCACCAAAAAACAAAAAGATTTAAGTAGAAACAGTATCACCCAACTACCCAAACATTTTGCCATATTATCTTTTAAAAAATTCGGAGGGAGGACTTTTATTTATTTTCCTCTACGCGATAAGCAAAGTAGTTTTACAAATGATATATAACTGTTTGGAAATAATAAATTATTGTGTAATAATTTGTAACATTTTTTTATTTCAAATAATAAATAAAGAAAATAATAACCTATTAAATAAACATATTGTAAGTTAGATTCACCCCCACAAAACGATTACATATCAGATGCTAAAGAGGAAGACAAAGCAACTTCACAAAACGTATAAATAGCAAAAAAAACTATAAACATAAATTTTTAAAATTATATTTTACCTGAGTTTTTTTTATTGTGTATATTTAATCCTTTAATAATTTATACATATATATAAAAATTGTATTAATTCAATGCCGGCCTTGGTGCTGGTCACTTGGCCCAGGGTACTGTCCTGGTAGGGAGCCCCCAACCTGTTATGAATAAAAAAAATTGAAATAGTTTGAGAATAATTAATTTTAGCCTATTAGTATCTCAACCGAGTTAGAGATATATTGAATAAAATAAAATTTAAATATTACATAATTAAATAAAATCAAATAAAACATATTAAAAACAAATTTATTAATTTTTTGGGGGAATTTGACGTCATTGCCCGGAGGCGCCAAATCTCTAAGGTGGCATTATATTATTTTTGGTTTGATGTGGGACGATGAAGACGACTCGATGTCAAAAGAAACCATAAAAAGTAGATAACATTAACTAATAATACATATTATCAGTTTGTGTTTCCAACGATCTCGGGAGGACGGTACCAGCCTACCTGGTTGAAGTATCCCATGGCAGGTCACGATTTAGATGATTTAATTTGTGATATCACTCCTATTGTTCCTACTAAGGCCCTTCATTACACCTATCAAACACTTTATTATTCGTTTGATCAGTTGAAATATCTTCTTGGAAACCAGGGGTGCCCATACTCCCAAAAGATGATGTTGTATGTCCTCCTCCCAAGACATTTTATCCCTGCCCTCTACTTGAAAAGGTTGAAAGTGGATGTGCAATTATAAAACTTGTAGTTTAGTGTTTTCCTTTGTTTCCAAGTTAGAAAGTTATTCCACATTTAAACCCCACAAAAATTCATAACCACATATAATAGTAGCCTTTCAAAAATTCGCAACCCTGTCATCTTGTAAAAATGTGCTAATTGAATTTCTTAATTTAATCGTAACCTATATTTTTTTTATTTACGAAAATTTTCAAAATGGGGCGTTTTCAATCAAGAGATCGGTGAACTTTGTCGATGTAGTGAGGTACTAAAAACTCACGAACAGCCATTTGCACTCCACTTCAATCGTTAGGTTATTTGAAAACAAAATGAGGCTTACAAATATATTGGGCTGTTTGGCGTGACGGCCATCCTCAACATCCCAAAATAACGAGGTTATATGGGACAAAGGCCCAAATATTTTTGTAAGTCACTTTTTTTTCTCTAATTTATGATCAAATTATCTTATAACGACAAATCCCCCAAGCACCCTGGTACGTGAATAACACCACTTACACACTGACTGGCAGTGGCGGATCAAGGAATTTTCCCAGGGGAGGACCACACCTCTTTACCAGGTGTTTCCCCCATCCCTACCCGCTCTCATACGCCCTCCCCCACCACTACCCATCTCCCTCCACTCCTTAGCTAAGTTTAGCGGCTCAAAGGTCCTCTTTAAATGGTTTTAACGAAAGTAAACTATATTTTTGTTCAAAGTAAATTTTGTCTAGTTTAAAGTTAAGCAATCTTTAATTAGTTAAATTAAATAGTTTTTTGTTATCATATAACAAAATACGTGAATTACATAAAAAATCACAAAACTTTAATTCCCTACTTTCCTGCTAAATCGAACCATGGTTTATATAAACTTTTTTGTATTTATTGAGTTATGCTATCACTCCTTTAAATATTTTCTTCTACTTAAGAGACACACTGTATATGGATTTAGACATGTAAAAAACTAAATTTCTAGCACGGGTCACCAAGAGAAAACTTTTTACAACCAAAAAATCAAGATTTATCTGATCTTTTTTTTTCATGAATTACTACTAAAGAGTGCATTAAAGCGAAAAATGTATTATTTAAGAAATCAAAGAACGTAAAATTGTGCGTCGAATGAGTAACTAAACTTAATAATTTGATTATTTTTTTCCCACCATCAAAGGGAGGCCCTTGGCAGAATTCGCTAGTGCTGGTCACTATAATATTTTTTTTTTTAATATTAAATTCGTCGTCTATGATGATGAATTTTCCCTATAGTTCCTTTTTCTTTAAATAGTTCCTTTTTGGATTTTGTTTTAAGGCTTCCAGGGGAGGGGGAGCGCCCCCCTTCAGGATCCGCTAGTGCTGACTACGCATCCTGACTGCCAAATAGTACATACGGACGTACTAGAGACGATTCCTTGCTAAGTTGAAAGTACACTCCAAACAGCCAATGAAGGAATTGGCCACAACTCTTAAATGTACTGGAGAATATAAGAAGACGACTGAAAAGAATCAGATGAGGGACCTACTTATATAATTATGTAAGTAAATTAATGACGTGGAAGGGGTACCACTGAGTATGTTTTTCCTCATATCTCTTTACGTTTCAATTTTTTCATTTCTCGTAATTTAATTTTATCTTTTTTATTTATTTTTATTTTTCTTATCTCATTGTTTAGCCAGAACATCTGATTTTTAGTAAATGTAATTAACGGGAGCGGATTGAAAAATAAAAGTAAAAAAAAAAAAAAAAAATGATCCTCTAATTTAAGAAGGAAGCAAATGTGAATTAATGAGTGGTTACTAACTCATTAAATTAATTATTTTAATGTGAACATGCCTCATTTCTGAAAATTTTCGTTGTTTGTTTTGTAACAATTCAGGAATCTTTAAAATTATAATTGTACATATCGCTACTGTTGGTGCTGAAGGTTATATTTTATAGTCTGCGACTGCTTTAAATAATCTGCCAAATAAGAAATTAAAACATTAAATTATAATAATTAATCATTAAGAAATAAACGGTTCTTCTGTAAAAAAAAAAAAAACAATTTTTACATAGCCACCTTTTGCACTAACAACAGCAATTTATTAGATGAAAAAAGATCTTTTTAGTCTCAATAATTGTAGTAGTTTATTTACAATTTATCAAAAATTTCGCCTCTTCAGGCATCTTCGGGGATAAAATTTGATTGATATGTTTGAATAATGTATATTAAAATAATAATAAGTTTTATTTTTATTGATGTAGGTTTTAAATATTTTAATGTTGGCAACGCCTCTCCTTCATTGAAGGATTGGTCTCATTATGTTGTTTACTATGACTAGTGCAAGATTGTGCACTGCTATGAGCGAGTAAGCCTCGGTTT